CGGCTTTATTAAATGCCCAGCCGCATTGCCACAAAACAACACAGTCACACAGTCTTTAGTTGCTTTGAAGCAAGGGGCTTGTCTTTCTGATTTCGAAATGTAAGTGAGGTTGGGCATTTTTTTCCAGAAGAGCCCAGTCTCGCCAGCATTAAAAACTTGTTCCGGAAGATAGCCCTTTTCTTCTATGATTTTCTTTAATTGTTCGGGGTAGGCTTTTGCTGCCTCTTCATTGGCAGATGCAGCTTCACCAGTAGTCTGCACATTTTTGAGGTTGAAGCGGTTCCTAAAACTGTTAAGCCAACCTTGGCTGGCTTTGAATTCCTTCTCATCAGAAGGCTGTCCCTCTTCGGCAGGAGGTTTGAACAGCGCAAAGAGGCTAAGAGCCTTTTCTCGCAACGTGTTGCCATCGATAGGCACACGTTTATGGTTCATGTCTTCCAGCCATAAGTTTAATGCCTTTTCAGTCTTCACTAAAGTCTTATTACGCACCTGGCTTGTCACCTTAGCAGTTATTGGAGCACTTGATGCCACGGCTTGACGAATTTCTCTCTCTCGAATCTTGATGGCACGGATGCTAGATTCATTGCGGCCATATGTACGCGCCACGTTGGAGACAGACATACTGTTTCTCAATAAGTCCAACACAGCCAGTTTTTCCTCCAGTGTTGGAACAGATCGCTGTTTCTTCGGTTGAGCACCAGATGAAGTAGTTGGCTTGCGTTTACGGGCCATGTTGTATGAAAAATACATATCTTTAAACACTAGAATCACACTCAGCGCGGCGAGATGCTCACACTATGAGAGGCACGCGGGAACTGAGACCGACTGAGGGAACAGCAGATTCATGTCTCCCATCTCACGCTCTCTCCAGGGCATACGCTCATTGAGTGGAATGATGGGTGGAATCGCCTGCACTGTTTACAGGTATCTTGTTGTTTTTCTTTTTTTTGCTGAGCGCGTATAGTTGAATTCGCGTAAGTTAAATGCGCGTGTGATGCAACTCACCTGTATGTTCAGGCTAGTGATAGTAAGATCACTGAGCAAACATACCAATAGCCATAAGTATTAGGGCAAAGATATAGCTCCTCCTAACTGGAATACTGGTTCTTTCATATCATAAAGTTTTTTAATTATATTTGCTTTAAGAGCTTGGGGTACAGTAATTCTCTTGAAGGGAAAAAGTATACAAGATTTTTCCCTATCTGCATGGGTTATTCACTGCTCTATAAAGAAATGTGTACTTATGAAGGTGGGAGTGAAATTCAGCTCTCTGCGTGGGGCTTGTGCTGGTCCTCTGCATAGGGATGAATTTCAGGGCTTGCTACAGTATGTAGGATTTTTCATACATGATAGTAAGTCCCAAGATTTAACAATAGTTCCTGATCCTGCCATAGTGTTTTATTATTCATGTGCAACATGACAGCTTAACAAAGGTGCAGTAAAATGCAAGCACAGGAATTACTAATTGCTATTCATTCCAACTAATTGTTTAACCAGATCCTCCAAGTACTATATTTTAAAAGGATGAAGTTATGAGCAGGATAATTAGAAATGATGTTCTTTTACTGCACCGTAGTTGTTAGGTTATACATTAATCATGCAATTATATAATTAATTTCCCCATAATAGACCATCTGTTGTTTAAATAGTAAAACACAATAGAATGTGTGGTTGTGATTAACACCCACCTTAGGTGTGTAACAATGAGGTAGGAGGTGACACTGGTGGTATCAAAATATCTCCTGCTGGTACCTAGGTTTAAAAGCTATTTTAACCCCTTCTCTGCTAATCCTCAATTTCAACATATGTACAATTTTATCTGCTGAACTTCTTTGGAACATCATGGCATACATACCTGGTATGACAAGCGCAAATTGAAGCACATTAAGCTTCTCTTGGCATGGGGGATTCCCCAGCTGGTGAGATGATGTACAGATGGCATAGTCAACTCAGTGCCACAACCAGAGTGTGCAATGGGCTGTAGTTGGAGCACACTGTGCTCTGGCAATGCGCAACGGGTATACCGACCTTGTGCTTCCCCCACAAATACGTAAGACATGCTCACTTAACACACACATATATCAATGTTGAATATTTGCTAATGCTGCTGAAGTTGGGATTAGTTTTGCATTATCTGGCTGTGAAGGAGATTTAATAGGATTGAGAAGTGTGTTTTATCTGTTGGAATCATAAGAAAATTCCTTGTGAAGGCTGTGGAATCTGTGACTAGCAATGTAAACCTATTCGATGGACGTGAGGGTACATTTAAGGGTATCACATAATTTGGCATTTCCTTCCTTCTGTGGCTTGCACTTTGGGGGGATGTCACACAACCTACCTTAATCCCTTTCAAATGAACTATTTCCTAATGGAATTGTTGTGGGTGGTTTTGTTTGTTTTTTATAAGCGAAGAAGGATATGAAGTGGTAGATAACAAGGGTGGTCGTGGGGAAGGGACACCCTCTCTCAATGTTGCCCATGGTGTGAGTGGACAGGAAGGGTTAACGGAGGCACAGCATGGGGCAGACAGTAGGGTGTGGAGGGGATGTAGTGGTGAGTTGAATTTGTGGAGTTCTTGGTCCTCCAGTTACCAAGAGTGGATCAGGATATGTTGTAGGAAGACCTTCATAAAGTGAGGGGTTTCTGGGCAGGAGCTCATACTCTTCTTCTCTGCTTAAGCCCATGGAGGTTGTAAACTTTGTCTACATGGTAGTCCTCTGTCAGCTCACACTACAAGGGAGGTAAGGGGAGGATAATTGTGAGGGCAGCGGTAGGTCTGTCTCTATCTCCCTATTTCCAGCACAACCGTGCCTGCAATCCTGGGATGGAAAGAGTAAGAGTCTGTCAAGCCATCTATGCTATTGCTTCTGAAAAGTGGAGTAGCCTCTGTCAAAACCACAGAGCTTAGCCTTCAACAAAGGCTGAAGAGAGCTTTAGCTTGTAGCTCCTCTCCCCTAGCAACTCCTGCTACTCATCCTGACTGACACAGGGCTCACAACATAGATTATTTCCTCTCAGTTTTTGGTCCAATGTACTACAGAACTGGGGGGGCGGGGGCGGGGAGAAGAGGAGGAAGGAGGGGAGAGGGGTCGCATTTTCCCTGAGGGCAGTTTGGCTTCAGTCTTATTGTAAGGTATGGGAAGTAGCGATCATTGTGAAAAAGGGAAAATTAAATACAACAATTGTTAATCACTGAGCTTAATTGTAACTGGCTTCTTCAGATATACATTGGGCACTGGTTTACAATAAATTAGCTATTTGGAAAATTTGGAGGATAACAAAGGAAGCATTTGTTAGCTAGTATTGTCCAAAAGCGATGAGCCACTCAGAATTTTTTCCTAAAGGACCTATTTTTAATTAACTTTGGTTCATAAAATAAATAACAGATTTGCTTGCAAATCCTCAGAAATTGAAAAGTTTAATCACAGATTCTGATCTTAAATTTGGGTAGATACACTGGATTTCCCCCCCCCCCCAAAACCAAGCAGTGACTGCTTAAGTGACAAACGGAATGCAGCCTTAATTGTAGAAGTGTGGTCATGCCAATATAGTAATGTTGCACAGAATTACGGTTTGTTTGAGGTGTACAATAAGCAGCCTATAGTCTGTGCTATATATTTCCTAGGAGTGTATATGTGTATATTTTGCAGTATTTATTCTCCAATGGGATGTGGGGGAGGAGTAAACTATGCAGAGTATCCTGCACAGTACCTATTCCCAGACCCGCAAAGGGTGTAGAAGAAGCAGCGTATGTGGCATAGTATCTATCTCCCAGGAGTGGTGAAGGAAACAACGTAGGGACACAAGTCAGATATCAGGAATGGCAATATATAAAAACCTGTAGGAGAACACTTCAACCTCCCTGGCCACACAATAGCAGATGTAAAAGTAGCCATCTTACAACAAAAAAACTTCAGGACCAGACTCCAAAGAGAAACTGCTGAGCTTCAGTTCATTTGCAAATTTGACACCATCAGATCAGGATTAAACAAAGACTGTGAATGGCTAGCCAACTACAAAAGCAGTTTCTCCTCCCTTGGTGTTCACACTTCAACTGCTAGCAGAGGACCTCACCCTCCCTGATTGAACTAACCTCGTTATCTCCAGACTGATTCTTGCCAGCATATTTATACCTGCCTCTAAAAATTTCCATTACATGCATCCGAAGAAGTGGGCATTCACTCACGAAAGCTTATACTCCAATACATCTGTTAGTCTTAAAGGTGCCACAGGACTCTCTGTTGCTTTTTACAGATCCAGACTAACACGGCTACCCCTCTGATACTTAACGTAGGGGGGGTGTATTGCATAATGTTTAGTCCCCAAGGTGGTGGTGGGGGGAGGATAATACGGGAAGTAGATAGCACAGTATTGGCTGCCTGGCGGAGGGAGGTGTATAATATGCACATTCTCCTGCTCGCTGTCTGTTCCTTGGTGAATATAACGCATGGAGAGCGCTCTGTGGTAGCTATTCTCCGGGAGGGGAGGGATACGGGCCGTGTCCTGCCACACGTAGAGCGCACAGGGTCCGTGCCGGGGCCGGGGGAGGGAAGGGGCTGTGCGCGGAGTAGGGACACAGCAGTATGTAGGACGGGGTGTCACGTCCCGTCTAGTGCGGGGGGGGGGTTGCGGAGTGTCACACACTCTCTCTCTCCGTGGCATGCCCCGGCGGGAGGGGTCGCACGCACACACAGCGAACGCTGTGCACTATCTGCTCCCTGGGGGTGTCCTTGTCTCCCGTCCCCGTTTGCAGGGTCCCTGGCGAGCCCACCCTTTCGGGACCGGGCTCTGGGCAGAGACAGACGCCGGGGGGGAGGGAGGAGAGAAGCAGGCGGGGCCTCTGGCAGTGGCGGCGCGGTGCATGCTGGGCGTTGTAGTTCCCCACCGCTCTGCGGCTGCTTGCTGCCGGCTTGGGAGGACTCCATTCCCCAGGATGCGCCGAGCCGACGGAGGTCACGTGTCCGCGGCTGGGGCAAGGGCCGGGCATAAGAGCGGGCGGCCATTTTGTGAGAGAAGCAGTCGCTGCTGCCTCCGCGTCCGCGCCGCGCTCGCCGCCCCGGCTCCCTGCCGTCGCTCCGGACTTGCGGTTTGTTTTTTTCTCTTCTCCCTGCAGATCCTGTGAGACGTGACCCGGGCGCACCCAGCCGCGGCCTTCTCCCCTGCTCAGCGCCCCGCCACTGAATCGCATGTCCACTATCCAGAACCTCCAATCCTTCGGTAAGCGCCCCCCGGGACCCCCCGCCACGGGAGCCCCCTGCCCGGCTACTCGCCAGCGCGGAGCCACCTGGCACCCCGCCAGGCTCTCCCGGCGTCCTGTACGGGCGATCCCATCGCTTGCCGGTGTCCCATCCTCTGAAAAGGGCCCCCTGACCGCCTCCCCCTCCCCATCCGCTCTCCCGGGTGGCTGGGCTTTGCCTTGCAGTGGGGGGCGTGTCCCCACTCAGTCCATGATCCTTGTCTCTCTTGGTAAGGGGCACTGCTCTGGGGGTATTCCTCCCCCCATAGTCCGTCCTCTAGGATCTCTGCTTCCCTGGCAGTGCCTAGGCTGCCCCCATAGCTGCTGTGCAGCGCCAACCCCCCCCCCCCATGAAGTGAT